CTTGAAAATTCAAAGGTAAATGGAAAATCATTGTTTTTTGTACTTGTTTCCAAATTCTCCCTTCGTCCCAAGTTCTCTTTTGGTGATTTTGACCGTAAATGGAAATCCTTTCTGATTTTGACTTTAATTTCCAGATTTCCTTCCAAGCATGTTTGGGTCAAACATGACGTTGAACTTGGGCATGGATTTCAAGATTTCCTATGAACAAGTCTGTAGATCCATGGGGATTTCTAAGGGTGGTTGTCCATCTCAGAGTGTCAATGATTTCCCAAAATAAAAAGATCCTTAATATGTTTATAATGCATATACCATCTGTCTTTTCTTCATCAACATATCGGCAATTGGACGGGGCTCATGCAACCACTATAGTCAGTGCTAAACTGCTAATGGCACCTCAGTGACTGGTAAAACAGTGATGTTTGTTTATGTGAGTCTGTGTGCATGGATAATTGGTCTGCTGATGGCTGGGTGGTCTGGGATTATGATATTTTCTTGTGAGACCAGGATTGCAGTCTGCAATCACTCCTTAGGCTGCTCTGGCGGACTCCTAACCTTAGGAATGCAGTTTTTTTCTCTCATGCTCTGATCATTATGCCTGGCTTGCCCATCCCTCCTTGCCAATTACTACACTATTACGGATCATTTTGAAATTTAATCCGTAATAGGTATTAGTAATTATACTTTGTCTCAATTTATGTTGCTCACTGACTTGACATAGACTAAGAAAGTGAAATCTGAGTGAGCAAGATAAACTGGGACAGGCCAAATAGGATAACAAGCAAGATGGATTTTTTTTTGAATCAGGACTGTGATTCTGGGACGAAAGATTTGATAATTTTTAGGCAATTCTTGCTATATATGCCATCCATCCCTAAATAAATATAGTTTTAAATAAATAAATGTTATAAAAAGAAGATATATGAAAACGAAATCTTAAAATGCACAATTAAATTTACATCATAACTAGATACATGTTTTACAACGTGGTCTAAGTTTTGTACAATTTGGCCTAAAAAGTCAAACAGTGCATTTCATTTTACTTGGTTCAAGGAATTACGAGGGAATGGAAAAGAAAAAGCTTTCTCTCCTTTTTCTCACCAAAATAGAAGGAATTTAGTTTTTCCTTTTCTTAGTTCATTTTTTCCTCCCATTTTCTTCTGCTTCCACTTTTCTTTTTTTTTTCTTTTCTCTTTTTTTCTTTTTTCTACTCCTCTCAAATTAAACAAGAAAAATTATTTTCCCCATTTTCTTCAGTTTTCCCATTCAAATTCCTTTAGTAAAACATAGTGTTAGGGAAGGAGTAGTTCACGTTTTGATTCATCTCGGTAGGGCTCAAGATTTTGGTAGGCTGTGACGATGACTGCATAGAGTTTTATGGGTAGATGAAATCTGTGCCGTATCTTGGCAGGGCAAATGCAGATGAAACTGAGAAATGCAGCCATGGCGGTCTTTTTCTTTCACCGTCTAACATTAAAGGATCTGAGCCTCCATAGTTTCTTACAATTATTACTCCGTATATACGGAGTATTCAACTTCTCTGCCTTCATTACACCCTCTCCTCCTCAAACCAAACACACCTTTACCATTTGGAGTTTTGGTCAAAGAAGAAATGAACATTGAATGAGGTTTGCAGAGAGACTTTGGTTTCTTGAAGGGCGGTTGACCCTCTCTGCTATGCCATTGATTTCATCTCCAAAAATTAACAGCCCTTTTGTGGATTGGAAGACGTACTTCAGGTTCTGTTGTTCTGATGCTTACTTCCTGTTTCCATTTGTGATGATGATGATGATGATTATGATAATGATTTCAACAACAACAACAATAATTTCAATAATGATCTTCCGCTCTTTTCTCTTATACTTTTGTACACCTGTATCCTGAGGCTATGATGAAAATGGTCACTTTGTCGCTGACCCAATTGATTAGGATTGGGTCAACACATACTGTAATGTGGCGGGGCAGGCATGCCAACGAGCATCTCTGCAGCCATTGCGTGTCGGAACTCAGAACAATCATCCCCAGCACTCAAATGAATTGATGATGTCAAAGGGCATGCGCTATGCCAACCAAGTAATATTTTACTATTAAACTTCCCACTTTTCTTTAGAAAGTTAAACTTGGGACGGAGGGTGTATTATATTATTATTATTATTTACTTTCATTATTATTATTATTTCTATTAAAAGGATTTATTCTGCTATGTTCTTTGCATAACATGGTTTCTGTTTCAGGCTCTTCTTTCTGGATGCTCAGCTGGAGGTCTTGCTGCCATATTACACTGTGATGAATTCCGCAATTTATTTCCACAAAACACTAAAGTGAATTGCTTAAGTGACGCTGGGCTCATCATGAACGCGTAATAATTCTTCCCCTCCCCAAGTTCTTAAGAGGTTTATTCTGAGAGGGCCCACTACAAGCATCGATAATTTAAAAATACTAACTATTCGAATCGATGATACATTTCTTTATTTCGTCTGCCATGGGGAAACCTGTCCGTTGATGGCATGGCAATCCAGGATTGCAGCCACACGGGTCGTCTTCTTAACCATGGATGACTTTTAAACACAGATCTGAGACTCAATCTGAGGATGGCATATTGTGATTGGTTCTCAAATTGCCCCGTAAGGAGTGTTTTACTCACATGCTCTGATCATTATGCCTGGCTTGCCCATCCCTCCTTGCCAATTACTACACTATTACGGATCATTTTGAAATTTAATCCGTAATAGGTAGTAGTAATTATACTTTGTCTCAATTTATGTTGCTCACTGACTTGACATAGACTAAGAAAGTGAAATCTGAGTGAGCAAGATAAACTGGGACAGGCCTAATAAAATAACAAGCAAGATGGAATTTTTTTTTTGAATCAGGACTGTGATTCTGGGACGAAAGATTTGATAATTTTTTGGCAATTCTTGCTATATATGCCATCCATCCCTAAATAAATATAGTTTTAAATAAATAAATGTTACAAAAAGAAGATATAAGAAAACTAAATCTTAAAATTCACCTAATTTTATTAAATTTACATCATAACTAAATACATGTTTTACAATGTGGTCAAAGTTTTGTAAAATTTGACCTAAAAAGTCAAACAGTGCATTTCATTTTACTTGGTTCAAGGAATTAGGAGGGAAAGGAAAAGAAAAAGCTTTCTCTCCTTTTTCTCACCAAAATAGAAGGAATTTAGTTTTTCCTTTTCTTAGCTCATTTTTTCCTCCCATTTTCTTCTCCTTCCACTTTTCTTTTTTTTCTTTTCTCTTTTTTTCTTTTTTCTATTCCTCTCAAACCAAACAAGAAAAATTATTTTCCCCTTTTTCTTCAGTTTTCCCAATCAAATTCCTTTAGCAAAACAGTGTTAGGGAAGGAGTAGTTCACGTTTTGATTCATCTCGGTAGGCCTCAAGATTTTGGTAGGCTGTGACGATGACTGCATAGAGTTTTATGGGTAGATGAAATCTGTGCCGTATCTTGGCAGGGCAAATGCAGATGAAACTGAGAAATGCAGCCATGGCGGTCTTTTTCTTTCACCATCTAACATTAAAGGATCTGAGCCTCCATAGTTTCTTACAATTGTTACTCCGTATATACGGAGTATTTAAGTTCTCAGCCTTCATTACCCCCTCTCCTCCTCAAACCAAACACACCTTTACCATTTGGAGTTTTGGTCAAAGAAGAAATGAACATTGAATGAGGTTTGCAGAGAGACTTTGGTTTCTTGAAGGGTGGTTGACCCTCTCTGCTATGCCATTGATTTCATCTCAAAAAATTAACAGCCCTTTTGTGGATTGGAAGACGTACTTCAGGTTCTGTTGTTCTGATGCTTACTTCCTGTTTCCATTTGTGATGATGATGATGATTATGATAATGATTTCAACAACAACAACAATAATAATAATAATGATCTTCCGCTCTTTTCTCTTATACTTTTGTACACCTGTATCCTGAGGCTATGATGAAAATGGTCACTTTGTCGCTGACCCAATTGATTAGGATTGGGTCAACACATACTGTAATGTGGCGGGGCAGGCATGCCAACGAGCATCTCTGAAGCCATTGCGTGTCGGAACTCAGAACAATCATCCCCAGCACTCAAATGAATTGATGATGTCAAAGGGCATGCGCTATGCCAACCAAGTAATATTTTACTATTAAACTTCCCACTTTTCTTTAGAAAGTTAAACTTGGGACGGAGGGTGTATTATATTATTATTATTATTATTATTATAATTATTATTATAATTATTATTATTATTATTATTATTATTATTATTTACTTTCATTATTATTATTATTTCTATTAAAAAGATTTATTCTGCTATGTTCTTTGCATAACATGGTTTCTGTTTCAGGCTCTTCTTTCTGGATGCTCAGCTGGAGGTCTTGCTGCCATATTACACTGTGATGAATTCCGCAATTTATTTCCACAAAACACTAAAGTGAATTGCTTGAGTGACGCTGGGCTATTCATGAACGCGTAATAATTCTTCCCCTCCCCAAGTTCTTAAGAGGTTTATTCTGAGAGGGCCCACTACAAGCATCGATAATTTAAAAATACTAACTATTCGAGTCAATGATACATTTCTTTATTTCGTCTGCCATGGGGAAACCTGTCCGTTGATGGCGTGGCAATCCAGGATTGCAGCCACACGGGTCGTCTTCTTAACCATGGATGACTTTTAAACACAGATCTGAGACTCAATCTGAGGATGGCATATTGTGATTGGTTCTCAAATTGCCCCGTAAGGAGTGTTTTACTCACATGTAGTACAAATCTCATGAGGCTGCAGAGGGGGTGTGGGTTTTCTAAGGGTGGTTTCCTCTCCCTGCATGCCTATGATTTGCATGATTTCAGGCTGCCCTTCAAATATAACAGCCCTTTCGAAATGCAGTAGGTACTAGTAGTTTGAAAAGAATGCTACAAGTATACCACGCTTGCTGTTTCTCCACCAATCTTGTTAGGCTGTGATGATATTATAATATTCTTAGGAGATTCATGGGTTGAGGAAGTTTGATCTGTAGGCCTCAAGATTTTGGTAGGCTGTGACGATGACTGCATAGAGTTTTATGGGTAGATGAAATCTGTGCCGTATCTTGGCAGGGCAAATGCAGATGAAACTGAGAAATGCAGCCATGGCGGTCTTTTTCTTTCACCGTCTAACATTGAAGGATCTGAGCCTCCATAGTTTCTTACAATTATTACTCCATATATACGGAGTATTCAACTTCTCTGCCTTCATTACACCCTCTCCTCCTCAAACCAAACACACCTTTACCATTTGGAGTTTTGGTCAAAGAAGAAATGAACATTGAATGAGGTTTGCAGAGTGACTTTGGTTTCTTGAAGGGCGGTTGACCCTCTTTGCTATGCCATTGATTTCATCTCCAAAAATTAACTGCCCTTTTGTGGATTGGAAGACGTACTTCAGGTTTAGGTTCTGTTGTTCTGATGCTTACTTCCTGTTTCCATTTGTGATGATGATGATGATTATGATAATGATTTCAACAACAACAACAATAATTCCCAGGGACCTGCTGCGTATTTATAGGCTTCTCTTAACACAATCCTAGAAGGAATAGGTTAGTAAAAGTTGGCTTGAACTCTACTTCCTTAATCTTGATCCACAAGTAGCCTAAAGAGTTGGGATTCCTTAGCATGTACAGCTGGAGTTATTATCATGTAATCACAACCCCAATAGGTCTCTAATTCAGATTGCAGCTTAAAATCTCGTGCTCAGACCTCTGATCTCGAATAGTGTGTTGCAGCATCGTACTGTAGCATGTTCTGCGTCAACCTCAAAAACTGCAGCAACTCTAGAAGTCTAAATAAAATAAACCTCTCCTAACAAATAGAGGTTTCTACCTAGTAAAACACCTAACAAATATGGGATTCTATTTTGCCAAAATATTAGCCAACACCATGGAACTAACAATCTCTCCCTTTGGCAATTTTTTGGCAAAATACATCATGCACCATGCGCATAAAAGATTAAAGCATCTTTTAAGAACTAAGCCTTTTCTCCCCCTTTTTGACACAAAATATGTCAATCTCATTAAGGGTAAAAAAGAAAAGTAATACCAAGTTCTTTTAAGAGCATACAACAATAACAAGCGCAAAACAAAAATAAAATCTACCATTACGATCCATGCACGTGCTTCCCATTTGAACATGCTGGAGCTTCATCCTTTTTTGTAATTTACTCCCCCTCAGGATTTGCATCAATACCACATCTTGCTTCAAAAAGTGTGCTAACTCTTTAAGAGATCACCATGATTGTTTGCAATGAACCACCCAAAGATCAAGCTAATAACTTAAGCTTAACTGCTTTGATACCAATTATAAGTTCGTGGGGGCGCATCAGAAATCACCAATTAAGAGCTATGCAAACAAACAATCCACTATGCTGCAAAGAAGACGCTGCAGCACTGTCACAGTACGTGATGACGGACAGTGTGCTATAACACTTCTCTGTCACAAGCACGCACACAGAAGCAGATGACACACAGAGCGTTACAGCGCCTACTGGGCAGAATGCTGTAACTGTAAAAAGCGTAAAAAATAACACCAGATATGTTTACGCAGTTCGGAGAAACTCTCCTAATCTGCGGGGCCTACGTCCGTGTAATAGCCATCCACTAAATCACTAGATGCAAGTTACACCGGTACATAACATGATGAGACACACTTTTCCGAATTGTTATGACAAAACTTCTAATCTAGGATTTCTAACCCGAACTCTGTTTAGATCTGCTTCGGCTATCACATCTCCACCGAGATCACGAGGACAAACGTGTTGGCAGCCCTCTCCTTAAGCTCTTGTCCACCTCCTTGTTGTCACGATCTGTTTTTCATTGTAGGACTCCCTCTTTATGTAGATCGTATCTTTCTTCACGAATGGGAAGCTCCGCGACGCGACGGGAATGCCCTACATCAGCGTATATTCTTTGTTTTTCCTCTCAATCGCTCCAAGTAATTCCCAGGGACCTGCTGCGTATTTATAGGCTTCTCTTAACACAATCCTAGTAGGAATAGGTTAGTAGAAGTTGACTTGAACTCTACTTCCTTAATCTTGATCCACAAGTAGCCTAAAGAGTTGGGATTCCTTAGCATGTACAGCTGGAGTTATTATCATGTAATCACAACCCTAATAGGTCTCTAATTCAGATTGCAGCTTAAAATCTCGTGCTCAGACCTCTGATCCCGAACAGTGTGTTGCAGCATCGTAATGTAGCATCTTCTGCGTCAACCTCGAAAACTGCAGCAACTCTAGAAGTCTAAATAAAATAAACCTCTCCTAACAAATAGAGGTTTCTACCTAGTAAAACACCTAACAAATATGAGATTCTATTTTGCCAAAAGATTAGCCAACACCATGGAACTAACAGTATATGTATATAATAAATTAATTAATTTACAATCATAAAATATAATAAAAGTGTAAAAATTTAAAGTAAGTTGCTAAATCACTGTTTGAAACTAAAATAGCATATAGCTCCCAACCTTTAGCAGTTTTTGGAGATGCTCTTAACAATGTAGTACTCCCTAATACAGTAAAATATTATGGGTTCACTCCACCTATTCAATATGTTACTGTTTGGTAAAAAATTAAAAACATACACTCCCTCCGTCCTTATGTAGATTACAATTTTTTTCTCTCTCCTCTCGATAATTTTTGTTTGTTTACGCGATTTCATTAAGTATTTAATAAAATAAAATATTCTTGTCGCCTCTTTTGTAGAACTTTTGACGTAGTTTTTTAATATGTAATTTTTATATCTTATTGATATACCAATTTGTAAATAAAATGATTTCGAAAAGTAAAAAAATTTACTCTGTAACCCGCAATTTGTAATCAAATTGGGGATGGAGGGAGTATATGGACCCAACAACATAATTAGCGCAAGGAATTCCCTAGAAAAAACTCATCCGCCTACAAAACTTAATTAGCTCCACTTTTTTCACTTCAGCGCTTAATTTCATCTGCCCAAAAAATTAATCGGTGAATTCACTCCCGCCGTCCAGTGCTAGCACATCCAGATTCATCGTTTCTCTTAGGGATCGTTCATCTCTCTGGCGCACCCCTGGCGCACTGTTGGTTAATTCCAGTCCAGAATATAGTTTAAGTTTAAAAATAAATAAGTAAAAAAAAAAAAGGTAGACAGTCAGGCAGTTACTAGTTACAGGCAGTTTTATGACAGTTTCCAACAGATGTGTTGGTTAGAAACTGTTGTGTCTATTTGTAATGGTTGTGTTGTTTAGTCCTCTATTTATATGTATGGGCACATTGTTCTGGACAGCAGTTCCACAATAAAAACACACTGTTTCTATACTTTAGATCTGTCATTATTTCTCTCAATTGGTATCGGAGCCCTGGTTAAGAAAAAATCAAACACAGATCTGTGATCAGTAGTTGTCTTGCAATACGCCTGAAAAACATTAGTCTGTGATGGAGGCCATCAATACTAAGAAAACAAACGATGTTGTTGCTGTTACCCCAGTTCGAGATGGAGGCTCGACAACGTACCAATGTCCTGTACTCACTACAACAAATTATACA